ATAAAAAAGGATAAAGCTCTCGGCGTTGATCAACCCCTGAGGGATGTGCCATGCATTCGACTTCATTAAGTATCGCTGGGGGTGACTGAATGCATATCTGGCCTTCCTACCGATATATCGAGCCAGTGCTGCCATACCCCAAACAAGTCTGGTACCAATATGTCGGCACCGGAGGGATGGAAGGTTTGGTGGACCATGGGTGCGGGGATCAATTTCACGTGTGTGTTGCAGCGGCGCCTTAAACCTCCATAGTCTATAGTTCATATATTTCTACTTCAGTATTCATAAAGTGAAAAAATGGTGACTTTTGAAGTATATCTTTTTCTTTTAGTCTTCTCCGCCTTTATACTGCCATTCGCAGATCAACAGTATATGATGATAATGACTATTATTTTCCTCTCCAACCAAAATTGGTAAATACAGGATACTAACACAACTTGGATGGCTCGCCTTCAGTGGTTGTGCGGGTCCCAGCATAATTTCCATTGTTTCGGAGTTTTGCTGGCTTAGCCAATGTGCTTCCCTGGAGTCTCGAGGTCAGCCAGGCCTAAGTCCGCCCCATGTCGTCACCACCACAGGAAGGCGCCGCCCTTGCGGATCGGAGAGAGATTTGCCACCATACGACTAGTTTGATATCAGGATGGTGGTAGAACCTGGTATTAGTTTACTTCTAGCTGGTCTTCCTGATGAAAACGCCAGACTCCTCAGCTTAGGAAACCCTGCTGAGTGGATGAATCCCTCCGCTGTACATCGCACTCCGACACCCAGGAATATCTCACAGCCACGATGAGGCGGTAAACCGTTGAGAGGGGATTTTAACGTTAGGAAACCAAAACTTTCAGAGACAAAAAAACCGTCGTATTCACATACAGTGAGTTCCGTCTGGTCACCTAAAGGATATTTATTGAACAGAACTGTCTCAGTTGCTTAGGAACAGTGCGAATAGTTGGAGAAGGAAAGTGTACTCCTTATTAAGCTTATGATATTGATAACATTATATCATTATCAACTAGACCAAAAGTCACGGAAGTATCTCGGTCGAGAATATCTGAGTACCACATTTTTGAGTAGTCTGGATAGCAAGAAAAGTGTTGAACAAGTAGAGGCATTTGTTGCGTATTCGTCCTTATCTTCATTACTACCAACTGATTAGATAGTATGCCCGATCATCGGAAGGAAACCTTACAGGAATGGTTTAACGTAGTTACTTCATGAGTTACCAGATAAAGGTATGAAAATATGATAATCAAAGCAAAATTTGAATAACAAATGGCTAACGGGAAACGGTAAACAACACATGGTTCTTTGATGGTACTTCCCTGTGTATAACTAAACGCTCACTCCAAGCCGACTTGTTGATTGACTTTGTCATCTCGTTTTCAAGTCTGCACCTGCTTTGCCAAAAGTTAACAGAGCACTTCTAATAGGAATTTTTCAATTTTAGAACAAAACAATAATTGGTATAGAGACATCTGCGACCGAAATAGAACCGTAAGTAGTCAGCGACGTTACAAATTTTCTAGATCATCTCAGAGATGTTAAGATGGAAAGCTGGAGTCGTTCAGGCCATAGCTAGTTAATATGTGAAGAACTTGCACAAGTTCGTTACATAACAACTTCACCGCCAGAACTTTGTTATTCTATATTTCAATAAGGTCATGGGTAGAGTTGGAACGTATAAAAGTGTGAATTGACTACCGACAGCACCACCACCTTCGATATACTGATGACAACATTCTCACAACACAAAGCACATGGAACGAACGGATTCTGATGAACCATTTAAGAAGATCGGTTTGTACAGTTGAACATAAAGAGAACGGCATTGAAAATCCAATTTAGACAATGGTTGAATGCGATATAAAGCCTGACAACATTTCTGCGCTTGTGATCAAGACAGCAGTGTTAGAAGTATTCCATCTCATACATATGCTCTTACGAACTGTCCTTGTTTAGATGACGCAAGGTTGCCATAAAAAAAGATAAATCTCTCGACGCTGATCAACCTCTAATGGATGCACAGTGCGTTCGACTTCATTAAACATCGTTAGAGGTGATTGTATGTATATCTGGCTTTTACAATGAATCGCTGTGGCCTACAGATGTATCGAGCCAATGCTTCTAAACTCCCGGACAAGTCTGGAACCAATCTGCCAAGCCCGGTGGAATGACGGACTTGGTGAGCCTTGGAAGTGGGGATCGATCCCTTGTGTATTGCAGGGCGCCTCCGACCGCTGCGCTACATGCGCCTTTTCAGTACCCACTGAACAACGACAACAACAACAATAAGATCTATACCAACCTCGCGCCAGCTAAATAAGGACAGTTCGTAAAAATATATATATATACAACGACCATTATTATCCCAGCCGAGGTTTACAGAAAATCGAGAGTTTGAGTATGCTCTGCTTTGTGAAGAAATTAATCATATTCCATCTTGTAAAAATGTGGGTATGCGTTTGGTGCTATTTCACAAATCATGTAGTAAATGCTGTAAACCTCATGCAATACGACGTTCGCTTGCTAAGCGCCTTAAATGAGTGCATGTCTTCCTATCTCAATAAAACCAGTGGACGGAAAATGTAGCGCACTTTCGTTCCTAAGAACGAGCAGAAGAACCCACTAGCAAATGAGAAGCGACAGACGTATCCAGAGTGTCCTGGCTCGTACAGTCGAAGGACTGGCGGTATAAGTGACTGAACATTCTAGACAAAAAAGTCACATTTTGGCGCTATTTCATCACAACAGATCGTGATATAATTTGCAACGAAAATACAACTTCTTAAGAACAGGTGGTTTCCGAGCTATAAAAACGTTATTGTAAAGAGGAAAGCTCTCCCACTACACTTCAAACAAGTTCGAAGTCGGGAATAAAAAGCACTATATATATCCAAGTAGTCAGAGGAACCGCTATTATAAACCATTAAAACCGGCTACGAAAGGCAAATGGTACCAAGTGGTTACTCGGTGCCTGATAAGAATGTCGACGTGTTATCACTAATCTGTGTCTGAACTTTCTAATTTCCTTCAATTTGAGTGTTTTGAGCCAACAAGTTGGTTTTAAAAAAAGCTTTATTTGCTAAAAGATAACAACAATTGTAAACCATATCAACAATGAATTGAAAAAAGAACCGCACCAGCAAACAATCACACGATTAAGACACAACTGCTATGATCAATATACATTAGTAGATGTTTGGTAGACTAAACTCATATTCGAATGAAGAACAACACCTAAACGACGTACACCAGAAAAGCAAACAAATATAAGAACAAACGAAATGAGCCATCGTATACTCTATTCCGGCGGAGATAAAGGCACCTGAATCAATTTCAATCAAAAACTCGAGTTTTTTTTTTCTAATAGAGGTTCTATTGGTTAAAAAAAGTTACCATAACACAGTAGAAATGACTGCAATCTAAGTGGTGGTAAACAAATCGCCACTTTTATTGTCATAAATCTATAAAATGATCTAGAGGACTTTGGGTTTAAAGAACAAAGCGTGGGTAGCATAGTGAAAATGGTACCCCTCAACACTCGAAATGTTCCAGTTTCACTCTGCGCTGGGCCAATAAATCATCAGGCCTTACGGATTCAGGAAATTTGAACCAGACTTTTCTGGAATCAGCTAGTTACCTATAATTCGCAAGATATATCGCCTTCTTTTGGTGAGCACCTCCGCTAGAACAGCTACCCCAGGACTCCTGGGGAATCTATTTGACCAGTGTTCAACAACTTTCACTACCAAAACAAAGTTCTCATGTGGCAGTCAAACTAGATACAAATCCAAAGGCGTCCGTGGACGACAGATGTGAGACAAGAAACCGAACGAAAGATGTGTTGTGCACGAAGTCAGGTCATATCTAGAAAAATTTTCAATGCACACCTGGTAACACTTTACCATCCGGATACCATGGAGTATTTTTACCCACGTTAGAAAACCTGATATTATTCGTTCAAAAAACCATACGGAATGCGTTCTAGTTCTCATCGTTGTATTTAGTTTACCCAAACCTATTGGCAAGGTTTATCAACAAAGAGTTGTTTTAATACGTACACAATACACAGTCGAAAGGGCGGGATCGTGATGGCCACTACTTGCCAAACAAAACCCCTTTGAAGCCCACCCGCGACTCCATCGTCCTACTGTTCAACTGTTTTCTGGTCGTTTAGGCGCTTCCGAGCAAAATCAAACAATGTTACCTGTCATTGTCGTGTAAGTCTCAAGGCTAAGAAAGATGATGGCCATCAGATTGTTTTTACGTTACGATCTCCAAGAATCGCTATTGGAGAGGGAATTATATAGGTTACAAATCTTTTTGCATTTATTGAAGTTACATCAATGCTTCATTGCACCATCATCACTTTTACGTGCCCACCGAAACCGAACAAATGAAACTGTGATTATTCCCTAATTAACAGCTAGATCACACGAAAACCACATTTGCAGTAACTTTACTTTGATTATAAATGCAATGAAAAGAAGGTGGTCTTCAGATTAGAAAAACTACTTTGCACCCAACAGAAACTACAAACAAACCAGTACTTGAGTCACTTGAGTAATTTTACGACGTTGCGTTTCTGTACTATATTAACGGAAAGTGTAACCAAAAAAGATGAATTTAAATGGCAACGAGATCTCGGTCTAAACGGAACGACTACGACATTATAAAGCTGAAAAGCTCTGGGTTTGAAAATAATTGTCGAAGCAAGAAATCACTGTGGTTTCAGCAAACAGACGTAATAAGCAAGGAACAGAATTGATAGCAATGTCCAAACGCACAGAGCACCAAGGTGTAAATCTTCAAAGCGAAGAAAACGGAACCTAGTAAAGCGCCGTCGACTGGACGGACACAAACTGTATCTAAGCTTTCGAATGAACCACCTTTAACTGGATGAACATGTCGGGATTATGGGCTAGACAAAAAAAAGCGTGAAATCATGCACAAGCACATAAATGTCGGAAATGTATATCAAGAAATGAACTCAACAAACGTACCTATTTCTTCTTCTTGTTCTTCTTTGTCGCTGATGGGCCTGAGACTGCATTTGTGGTCTGAAATCCTGGTTGTCGCGTTTTCAATTTGGGAATCATACTGGCAACATACTTATACAATGCCATCCCTGAAACATGCAATACCAAATTTTTGAATGAATGACGAAGTAGACATGTTGCTGTCTTCCTTTGGCATAAAAAAGTATAAGAAATGCTAAAATGAGAAAAACTTTCGGAGTTAGAATGACTTTCCTTAGGAATATTACTCCGCAGGAAAGAAAGTTGTCTACTAATCGCATAGACAAAGTAAAAAGCCTCTTCTAAAGTATAAAAATACAACAAAACCTCAGAATTCATCCAGAAGAATATAGGCAGCAACTAACTAGTAGGATAGTCCTTGTTTTTTACTGTGCCGTCATCGTTCCTGAGCATGATTCGCACGCGACCAAACTTCTCCGGTTCGCGATCACGTTCACGAGGATGAAGCTTGCCGCGCTGAGAAAGAACCGCTTCAGCAAACTTGTACAAAAACATATACCTCAGAGATGTGCATCAGATGACTGGAGTTTGAGGAAGCATAAGAGTAAAAAGTACTTCTAACACTGGATTTAAGCCGTTTGCTGCCAGAACATCATGTATCTCGACGGCTGTTGGATTCTCCACTGCCTAGAATGCTAAAAGTGGAATTCACACAATGAACCTAGCAAAACACAACAGAGATCGAAAAATCATAGAAGTGAGAAGTAATTTACCAGTCCTTTAGGTATCTTTCGACCTTGTTGTAACGACTTCTTTGAATCGATATATGTCGGATAGATAACGACCCATCGTTTGTCGTTTGAGAAAGGCTTAGCCTTCACATCCACCATCACACCTTAGAATTGTTGATAGTTAGCTACAATACGAATAGAAAGATGAAAAACAAGGATGGACACAGTTATAAACAGAAAGGAACCAGTTTGCAAATCAGATATGGAATTCTGAGAAAAGGATAAAGTTCCAGGCGTTGATCAACCGCTTAGAGATGCACCATTCATTCGATTTCATTAAGCGTCGGTGGATAACTCGCGTTGATCTACCAATGTATCGAGCTAGTGCTGATACCCTCCCAGACAAGTCTGCTACCAATTTGCCAACCACAGAGGGATGGAATGCTTGGTGGGCCAAGGGCGCGGAGAATGATCCCATGTGTATTGCAGTGCGCCTCCAACCGCCGCGCCACACGCGCTCAGAATTCTGAAAAAGAGCATAAAAATGGTTTCCAACAGAAAAATCAAACAAGCACCAATTCCCCGAAAAAGCAATGAATAAACAGAAACTCAAAATGAGAATGGGATTTCAACAAACGTCTAAACGACTAAATTAAATAGTGGGCGAAGACATTTGTATGTTGACTTTTCGTTGGAGAAAAATTGATGTCTGACCGCGTTCGTCCCTTCGAACGCGATTGAATGTGTACAAAAGGGAGTTTCTTGTGCTACACAGTTACTTAGCATAAAATTGTAAGTCATGAATACCAGAAGGTGTAGGTATTTTGGTGTCATCAAGAAAAATCCGGCCAATCTTGAGGATTACGAAGCTTAAGAGGTTATTTTCACAGTCTTTGCATAGAATTGCTTCACGTCGTCATTCTTCACTGCCCCATATATGGTTCCGGAGCGTCCAGTCGGTCGTTGATGTACTGCAACGCCCTATTTGGTCAACTCTTTGCTCAGTGAAAGGTGCGCGTTACCTCTGAGTCACAGCAGTCAGTCAGCCAGCCGAACCTCCTGCCCCGAAACGGCCAGCAACATTGTCGTTGTCACCCGCCGCTAGACCAAGTCCCTATCCTCCCCAGGGTTAGAGTCTATGAGATTGCGTTGGACCAAGCTAGGCTGCGATTTGCTAGTCTAAGAGCGGAGCTTGGTAAAATTAAGGTTAGCTAGTTTTGTAGTCCTTCTTTCTTAAGCTGGATAAGTAGCACAAATATATCCAATAATTCATATTTTGAATGAATCTTAGTCATAATTTGGTTTTACGCTTTTATTCCACGGTGTTTTAGTTTCCTTTCTTCGTTTTCTACCACTGCTGTTTCTACTTATTCCCTTCATCTGGTATAAAGCTAATCCTTCTCTCATTCTCTAACCTTCCTTGCCTCATTCCTATTTTCCTTCTCATTTCGTTTCTTCCTTCTTCTCCTTTGCTAACTGATCCGCTGTCTAAGGTGCAGTCTGGGAATGCCTTGATTACCTTTGTTTTCCCACTGAAACCACTCCTTATTGTTCTTTATGACTTTCCTACTCTTTTTTCTGTAAAAGCTACAGCTAAGCCTACCAGTGCTGTATTGGTAGACCATGACAGTAAGATGTCCTGAATGTTAACGTTTTTAAAGGCCTAGTTTTATCTCCAAAGTAGAACTACCAAGCTATGAAAGAGTTCAGCGTTTTCATGCTTAAGACCACTAAAGACCACATGAACAGGATGCATATCCTATTACGATGTTGAGAGCAAACCCATTGCAATGCGGTAAATGTCACTCTGGTTCACATTAAAAGCCTTCGAATGTCAGTGTGTCGAATGTATGGCCTGGCACAAGCAATGAGAAAGCGCATAGCACGCCAGTGGTTCTGAAGCGGAACAACCTCCGTGATGGTGGTTTAGCACTGTAAAGAAAAAACTACGGCATCCACGACAGGTGTTGCTCTTCACGCTTTACTTAAGGCAGGAAGTCACGTGAAATTCTACGTGGTTAGACGTCGCTCATCGAAATTCAAGGATAAAATAAAAAAAAGGATAAAGCTCTTGGCGCTAATCAACCCCTGAGGGATGCGCCATACATTCGACTTTATTAAGCATCGTTGGAGGTGGTTGAATGCATATCCGACCTTTACAATGACTTGCGGTGGCCTACCGATGTATCGAGCCAGTGCTGCAATCCTCCCAGACAAGTCTGCGGGATCGATCATCCTATGTGTATCGCAGGGCGCTTCCGACCACTGCGCCATACACGGCACTAATTCAAGGATACGAGTCAAAAATTTCGCGTCTGCTCAACAAAGATAGTTCGTAAGAATTAAGTAATTTAATTATTAATCCGGACTTTAATTGGAAATCTGTCTTTCGAATTATTCCCTTGTCAAATACGTGAACGGCCAGCATGTGTATGCCACCTCAAAAGAGTTACGTAGTCGAATTTCCATGTGAGAGGACTTAAACAGTAACTGACCACATTCCTATAGGCAGGAGATTCTGTATATTTGTCGTTGACGTCTCAATGCTGTCGTTGTTCTGTAATGGATCCAGTCAATTCAATGACACCGTTCGTGCGAAGAGCCGATTCAGTCGCAGGCTGAAGAAGTGTTGACTTAATTCAAGAGGGAGTCATGCAGTGTCCAACGAAATCGTTTCCTGCATACATTCCAGAACTCTGCATACGTGATCGATATCGGAAATGTGCTTGACAAGGTGACGTTATCGAACCAAATCTCTTCACCATGTCGGTTCAACTGCCAATGATATCATGGTCGAGATTGAAAACATCGATTCAAACCTTCACTTTTAAGATTGCGCCATCATGTGCTTTAAAAATGTCGATGGTTTAGAGATAATGCCGAAGCTACTCACTCAAGTGGGAGTAGATGCTGACATGCTTGTAAAGTGGAAGAACTAGTTCATGGAAACCGTAGTACAACTACATATGAATCGAAGTCGACAGCTGTTTGATGACAGTCGTGTCCTACACTTATCTAAGATGTTCAGTGAACAATGACTGCAACTTGAAGAAGGAAATTAGTGAAGAAAATAAGGCAACTGGTAGCTTCCTGAAAGTGTGGTTGATGGTGGGCACAAATCTTCGCTGTGGAGTCGACATTTCCTTCGGCGACTATTATGCATCTGATGTCCTAACCGCATCGAGGACATTTTCCACCATTGAACGACTTCGTATTCCAAACGTTTAACAAATATCTCATCTTTCTGTTCGAAGCAAGTGCCAAAAAGAACTACGACAAAGCAAAGACGCTCTTATGATGTAGTGAAAGAAATCCACAACTGAGGGAGACTGTAATGGCGGTGTCGACCTAAGGAGATGAAGTGAACACCTTCTGGAGTGTTTAGCTACGGAATAAACGCAGATCTTTGCAGCTGATGTCAAGATGTATTTGTAGCTCTACATCTCTTTGATAAAGCGAATATTACTTCCAGATGTCACCTTCACGAAGCAGAACCTCTATGGACCTATGGACGACGGTCGCGGACTATGAACGGCTTAGAAATTGGACTGTGAACCATACAGTTCACAAATATGGGACTTCCTAGAGCGCATACACATTCTCCTTGGTCCTTTCTGTTTTTCTGCTCTACCTTTGTCTTAACCCTAATTCATTGGCCTAAAATCGATATAAATTTATTTGTATAACACCGCCCGTCACTACGCGCTGTTTTTCTAACGAACACATTCATTGGAATGTGAGAGATGTCCTATAAATCCATCCATCCACCAAATGATATAATCTGTTTTCTACAAGTTTAACACCCTTGCTCCAATGTATAATGCTTTTTTAATCAATAAATTAACGCCTTGTCAATTCGGCGTGAAAGTGCTTGCGTCATCAGGCCATTTGAGCGTGCCCGTCACTTGATCGATCCTATTCAACTAAACCGTTCGTAGTTCTGAGTTTTGAGGATTTAAATTAGATTCGTTTGCCGATAGTGAAACATCGATTTATCGGTTGGTCCCCTTACCTGACTGTGTAATTGAAAGCCTCATCGTCGACAGTCTTCAGCGGATTCATGAAGGGAACACGAGGATTCCACATCTGCACGAGAAGAGTAAGCCGAATGAAGGCAGCACTCTTTAGCGTTAAATGAGGGAGTTTAATGGAGTTGTCTTGTTAACTCTGTTTCTTCTTCGTCTTATTTCAATCACTTTAAACCGGAATTTGTTATTTGTATCTTTTCTGTACTTATTAGTTATCCAGTCCAGGTCCGATTCGTGTATTGTCAATGTACGGTTGCTCAACTAATCGGATAGTTCTCTGCAATCACCAAAATCGCTGCTGTCTTGGCAGAATCTGAGTCTCAACGCGCGGATATCGCTCTGATTCACGTCGGCTACCGCAAATGGTCGGCGACTGACCTGGAAACGCTCTAGTAGGGCTGCCTCGGAACGCCTTGCCAGTGATTGAAATGTCAACAAAGAAGACAACAGATCCTCGGATCGAAACCGAATTCATGCAGGAACCCGACAATTTAATGAACCGTGTTTCAAAGACGACAAAAGGAAAGAAGAGCTGCGATTCGATAGACATGTCAAAATGTGTTATCCAGTTCTCTAAGTAGATAACTGCGTCTACCTCCGGGCAGGAGTAACAGTTTAATATGAGGTTGTGACCTCATCTTTGAGTTCGTTATATTGTCATCTCTTCAACATCGCTCATTTGACTGAGCAATCGAGGGTGCGATAGTTTTTGGACAGTTAGTTTACCTTCTGGTAGCTCATACCTTTGCTTCAGTTTTACAGGGGTTTGGCAAATATTCTTATGTCGACCAAACTGGCTTTAGCCGGATTATGGTATTATTATATTCACTTATTTACCTTCACTGATTTAGTGACACTTTCGAAATTGAATGGACCTTTTGAATATCTAATAAAAAAAGGAATATACCAAGGGAACGAAACTGTTATAAAGAGAAAATGGAATAGTATAGGAGCGGTTGAAAGTGAGACAATGTTTTTTATGAAGGAAAATGGCTTGGGAAAAATAATTGAGTCGTATTCCGTAAAAATTGCTTAAAGTCCTTGTATGAGGTATTGATCTGTACCACGGAAAACATTGCTTATCTTTTATGACGTTTTCTTTGATTGGTGGTCGATGAGTATCGCTTTCAT